ATATGGGTAGTTCTCTAATCTAGGGTCCCTTTTAGGGTTCCTTTTAGAAGGGTGCCGTACTATATTAGGGCCTGAAAAAAGGGACCCTAAATTAAAGAGAACTACCCAAAAAAATCACTTAAAACCAAGTTTCCAAGTACCCTCATCCTTCGAGTAAGGCTGGCTCTGGCGCTGAACTGTGGCATAAGCCGTGTCTACGTCATTTAGGGTTTAGGGTTTAGGGCTTTAGGGTTTGGGGTTTAGGGTTTAGGGTTGTATGCGCCAAAGACAGAGCCTCCAGCTAAGAAGCATGAGGATTGATGGCTGCTCCTGCTTTTGCTGGTGAGGTCTCACACCTACTATTTTTGGGGGGTTCCTTATTATGGTTATAATATAAATCTACCCCAAAAAACTCCGTTCTAATTATCAAGGCCCCTATATTATCCCTCTTCATCCGAACTCCAGTCTGATGCCCCACTAGGCCTCAAGATTACGGTGTTGGGCCTGAAGAACCAGATGTACTTGGGCCCCAAAACGCCTAGCTTTTGTAGGAGCCGGAAAAGCACACAATAGGGAACACTGGAAAGCGCAGGTTACGTAGGGTTCAGGTCGGGGCCGAAGCCTTCCCAGCCAGGAAGCGCCAAAGGAGGAAGAGCTCGAAGTCATCCCGGTGCGCCTGACCCTTTGGGGGCGGTTTTGAGAGGGGCCGAGGCGGTAGGGTTTCGAGAGTCCGAGTCCCCTAAAACCCGGTCTTTCAGCTCCGCTCCGTTGCTTCTCGAAGGCTAAGGCATCCATGGCTTGAACGGTAACCTTTAGGGTTTTTAGGGCTTTTTGTTCAGGAAGGAACGAAGCCCTAGTCAGAAGAGCCGCCTAGGCCCCCCAGAGCCCCATGAACCTTGCAAGCACCCCGCAAAAAGCCCCGAGAAGCCCTTCTAGCTTAATGTAAGGGCCTGAATAATGACCAATGCGATTTTGGGGGTTCCGTAGTATAACGAAAAGTATAACATACCCTCAAAATCCTGTTCTAACTATTATCAGGCCCCTAGATGGCTTTAAGGAACCCTATATACTTCCTTATTTATTGGGTTACTTTCAGTATATTTAAGGGCCCAATACCCCCTACCCTTATAGAGAACCTTTATAGATCCCTTTAAGGAGCCTTATATAACTTCCTTATTTAAGGTATATTCCTTAACCCTAAACCCTAAAACCTAAATTTAAGGTATATTCGATCCCTTTAAGGAACCCTATATACATTCCTTATTTATTGGGTTAGTTGGGCTCTCTGTCCCCTAAACCCCTAAACCCCTAAACCCTAAACCCTATATTTTAATGACTAAGGCCCCTTTTTGGTTTAGCCAGGCCCCTAGATGGCTTTAAGGAACCCTATATAACTTCCTTATTTCAAGGGCTCGTTGGGCGGCTCTGTGAAAGCCAGGCCGGCCGGCCGGAGCCGCTCGCGGGCGAGATCTTGCCGGACGGCAGCGTGCAGGAGACCTAGGGGTTTTAGTTTTATTCTGTTTTTATAAAGGGTTTTAGGGGTTTAGGCTTTTTTTTAGGGGTTTTAGGGGTTTTATTTTTTTTTTTGTTTTGGGCTTTTCGGGTTTTAGGCTTTTAGGGTTTTAGGGTTCAGGGTTTTAGGGTTTTTGGGTTTTGTGGAAATAGGGTTTTAGGGTTTAGGGTTGTGCAAAGGGTTTGGGGTTTAGGGTCGTTGTTAAGGGTTCCTCCAAGGGCTCCACAAGGGTCCCAGGGCCTTCTTCTCAGTAAAAAAGGGGGCCTTAAAAATGGAAATTACCTAGAGTCGTTTTGGGGGTTCCTTATTGTAACTGTGGTATCATGGGTTTAGGGTTTAGGGTTTAGGGTCTGTTGATAACCATGGTATAATGGGCCCCAACACCCTATTCTACGTATTAAGGCCCCATTACGTCACTGGGCCTTGCGCCATCTTCTAATAATCTCTCAACCTTGCGCATCCGTGCTTGAACCTGAACCGCCTACCCGAAGTCTGCGTTCTTGTTTTTAAGGGATTTTACCGGAATAGGGATCTATAGTAAATAATAGGGTTTCTTTCTTATGGTAACTTAAATATTGAAGTTACCAGAATAGGGCTCTATAGTAAATAATCTGGTTTCTTTATTATGGTAACTTAAATACATGGTAACTTAAATATAAAACCCGTAACAAACCCTAAACCCTAAACCCTAAACCCTAAACCCCAAGCCCTAAACCCTAAATAATATGGTTTCTTTATTATGGTAACTTAAATATAGAATCCTTCACAAGAACCCAGGAAGCCACAGCTCTCCCCTGCGGACCTGAGCTCGCCAGGAGGCGGCGCCGGGCGGGATGTTTGCCTTGCTCCCGGCGTCTCGTCCTGAATGCAGCTTTGGGGTTTAGGGTTTAGGCTCCGAAGTAGTTCCTTTTTGTGGTTTATATCTAGGCTCCTATAATGTAATCCCAAAAAGGAACTACTTAGGAGCCTATGGGTAGGCTTTTGGGTTTTGGGAGTTCAGGGGTTTAGGGGTTTGGGAGTTCAGGGTTTGGGTTGAGCTCAGCTCTTGTGTTCCTGGAGGTGCAATAAGAAGAAGCGCGATAGCAGTAATTATCAGCAAGTACACAGGACTGATAGTAGTAAGGAACAAGGCTTAGCATAGGGATACTCGGCTTAGACAAGAAGGGATGCCTAAGGCCAGCAAGAACAATGAAGGGATGCCTAAGTACCCCATGCGATTTTTTAAGAGGTCGGAACTCAGAGTCCTCGAAGCGCGGGGACTTTGCATCCCCAAAGCCCCAAAGCTCTCCCCGAGCACCCCTAAGGATCCTCGGTAGTCGTAGGGAGACGCCTTAAAGGGGACCCTTCTGAACCCACTTGTGGCTCTCTTAAAAGGGACCTTATTGAGAGGGTCTATATCCCCAAGGGTCCCCGTAATCACTAACTCCCAAAAGAAAAGGCGAAAGGTGGGCGCAGGAAAAGTATCTTGCGCTGGCGGAAATGAGGCTGCCGGACCCGACTAGCGCCCGATAGCTCCATCGTATCCAGAGAGCCCAATACCCCTTCAATAAGGAATGTATACCTTAAACGAAAGGGGCCTTAAAACATAATGATTTAAGGTATATTCCTTAACTAAGGGGGTATTGGGCTCTCTGGGCTCGTAAGACTCAGAAGGAGGGGAAAAGGAACGTCTCGTCAGGAGGGTCTCGTGTGCACGCCCAACGACCTCTGTCTTGGCATCACCGCTCATCAGGACGACCCTGCTTGGGAGAAACGATGTGAAATGGCATCCGTAAGTCGCTTGCTAGATCCCAGGGCTCCTGCAACCGAGACTTACAGCCATTGGCAGGACGACTACTCCGTGACGATCGAAGTTCACTTCGAGCGAGATCGCTGCTCATCGGAACTGAGCTGGCAGGTCAAGTTGGGCGCTTGTTGAAATGCAAAATATACAGAACAAATGCGAGTATATATATATATGTGTGTGTGTGTATCCTAACCCGAGTCTAGGGGGTTTAGGGCTTATAGGGTTTATGGGATTTAGGGTTTAGAGTGGGTTGTCTGCGTGGAAGTGTATGTGTACATGTACGTACGTAGGCAGGCAGGCAGGCAGCCAGCCAGGCAGGTAGTAACGGAGATAGGTATCTCGCTATGCCCGTGTCCCGTTAGAGCGGATGAATGTCAGCAGAAGCATCCTCCGAGGCTATGAGCGCCTGTGTGCGCGATATCCCCTGGAGGCGTGGTCATTGACCTTGAAATGGTGAGCCCCTGGTCAGAAGCTTTATGCCCTTAAGCCCTCGGGGCATGGAAGCTGCAGATGCCGATGTTGACATCTAAGACATAAAGGTGCAATGCTACATTCACTGTTGCGATGGCTACGGCTATCTTCAGAGGCGCTGCTGGCAGCAGATGTCTGGTCGAACGCAGTGGCTCGGAGAGTTTGGAGTTGCGCGTTCCCAGGGCTGAGGCCAAAGCTAATTCGAGGCAACCCCCTGAGTTCTAGGAGTAGAGGCTTGGGGGGAAGGTTCAGGGTTCCTGAAGCTCAGCTTGAGACACGTCTTTGCCATGTCGGAGGTCCTCTTCACGGAGATAGGGATTTGGATTGCTGTTTCCACAAACTTCGATGTCTTAGAGCTCTGGAGTCAAGATGGGCGCTTGAGCCGTCCACAGCCTCTCGTTTGCATAAGCCAATTCAAAGCCCCAAACCCTCGCGGCCAAGCAGTTTTAGGGTTTAGGGTTTAGGCAGCAAGAACCAAGCCTTGCCGGCCAACAGGCATCCCAAGAGCATGACCTCGTGGATGATCGTTACTCCTAAACCCTAAACCCTGCAAACCCTAAACCCTGCAAGCCCTAAAACTCCATTCCACGGCCCACGTGACCCCGGCTTCGTGAAGCTCTAGGTAAGACCCAGCAACACGGCAACCTCGACACATAGCAGCACCACTTGTCTATCCCTGAGCATCAAAATAGCCCAAAAGCCTTATATAATAGGGTCTTTGGGCCCAAAAGCCTGAAAATATGAGTCCTTTGAGGGTAAGGGTTTATGCTTTCTAGCCCCCAAAGCCCTCTTCCACTGGGTTTTGGGGCCTTGGGCGCCAGGCAGGGAGGTGGAAGCACCCGACATTCAGCTAACTGCTTCTTTGGGCTGGGGAAGCACACAAGGTGGGAACAAAACAGTCTAAAAGCGACAACACACACACATACATATACATACATATATATATATATATACGTACTTGTCCCCCTATAGCTTCCTGTTTTACTCTGCTCCTAGCCGCAAGCAACAGTTCACCAGACGAGACACCCACCGTCCAGAAGCACGAGGTCACGATCTTCTTCCAGGGCGACCGTAGCAATCCAATCCTCTTCGGCGAGCTGAGTGGGCAGGCATCGAAGTTTGCCTCAAAGCGACCGAACTTTCCGGTGGCTTTCAGTGTGGCTGGGCTTCAGGGGTTGGGGTTGAGGGTGCCCATTCGGCGGCTAAGCCATCAAACTGCAGATGGCAGGGTCCCTGCAGCATCCCCTTGCCGGGAGATCGATGAGCACGGAGTGTAGTTCCAATGCGAGACTTCGAGCCCTCGTCTGGATGAGTTTGCTCTTTCGCTTGTTTCCGTCGAGCCCTTTACTTTATCCGCCCACGACTAAATCCGGAAACTGATTGTCATTGTGGAAGACTCACAATTTTTTCGGCCCCAGGCTAAACCTGTTGATTCTCAAATACCAGACCCGCTCTACCCTGAGCTCCGAACCCCTAAACCCTAAACCCCGAAACCCTAAACCCTCGAAGTTCTCAGCAGGTCATGCCGGAATCGAGCACCTGGCGCATGGGCTCTTCAGATCCCATGCGGAGGCAGACCCGGGCTTCCAAGACGATGGCATTGAAAGCTCAGTTCCCCAATACTCAACCTTTAAACGTTTTAGGTTCTTATAATTTAGTAGTAATCTGAAAGTTTAACTTTTATTTCCCTGGCTTATTGGGGAAGTAAGAAAGGGAAGTCCTTGCAATGTCGTACGGTTCAAAGAATCTTAGCATCCTCTTACACCCGACCATGAAGAAGTGCGGATTACCTTAAGGACCCTGAACTATGGGAAGTATGGTATATTCCTTGTACTGGGTAATGCGGGATTTATGCCATCAACAGTAGTATTTGCAGTCTCCCGTCGTTTTTGGGCATCCTCCTGCAGCAGCTATTGTGACGGAAAGGACTTAGGACTCCGGGCCTTCGAACTCTTCTGGCCCGGTGCGCCCCTAGGGTCTAGGGTTTAGGGTTCAGGGTTCAGGGTTTAGGGTTCAGGGTTCAGGGTTTAGGGTTCAGGGTTTAGGGTTTAGGGTTCAGGGTTTAGGGTTTAGGGCACCCCTGAATGTCGAAGTCTGCAGAACGGAGCTTCAAGACCTTACCCATAGGCCCCTAAGTAGTTCCTTTCTATGGTTTATTATTTAGAATCCTATAAGGTAATCCCAAACCCTTTTTGGGATTTAGCTTATACAAATATGAACCACAAAAAGGAACTACTTAGGGGCCTATGGGTAAACCCTAAACCCCCAAAGCCCTATACCCCTAAACCCGAGACCCTAAACCCCTAAGCCCTAGACTCCTTAAGCCCAAAAAGGAACTACTTCGGGGGCCTATGGGAAGACCTTAAACCCTAAACCCCCTAAACCCTAAAGACCTTCAGCCCGAGACCCCGAAGCTTCATCGCAGGCGGCAAGTTGCCGGAGTCTCTCGGCCGGAAGATGGACGGTACCAGAGAGCCCAGAGCATATACCTCTTTAATTGAGGAAGATATGCCTTATAAATCATAATATTAAGGGCCCCCTATGATTTAAGGTATATATTCCTTATTTAAGGGGTATGGTACCCGAGCTTGGGGTTGTTTGGTTTTGGGCGCCCCCCTTCAGAGAACCCCCGAGTCGGGAAAGGGCGTAGTCTTCAGGGTCTTGGCCCCCAAATAACCTACCTTTTTAGCTATATTATAATTTCTGTATATAAGTCCTTAAAAGGGTAGGTTGTTTGAGTGTCGGTTTTCGAGGACCCTGGAAACTTCGAGGGATTGATTTTTGTTGGACCCGGTGGTTCGAGAAGACATTTTGAGAGTTCCAGTTCCAGGGTTTAGGGTTTAGGGTTTAGGGTTTAAGGAAAAGGGTTCCAAGGAATAGTAAAGTAAAAAGGGTTTAGGGTTTAGGGTTTAGGGTCTAATAAATGGTCGAGGCCTCCGGCCGAGCGAAGCAGCAAGTTTGCTGAAGTTCTTGCTTCGGGGTTTCGGGCCCTGCTCAAAGTTTGCTAGTAGTGCTGGTGCATGGGGCTTGAGTTTCCCGGATGTTGAAGTAGCGAACCATCGATCCGGGTATGACGCTTTATTGTAGAAGCACGTAAACATGTTCAGAGCAACAAGAGGTTTAGAGCATCATCATCATCATCATCAGCAGCAGCAGCAACAAGAGCGGCATTCAAAGTAGTAGCAATACAACTGATGCTAACGCTCCTAGTCGTAGTCGTGTTGTCGGCAGTGGCAGTGGTCGTGGTAGGGGCAGTGGTGGTGCTGGTGGTGGTGGTGCTGGTGGTGGCCGCGGCGGTGGTGGTGCCGGCGGTGGTGGTGGTGGTCCTCGTCGTCGCATTAGCAGCTGCAGTCGCAGCAGCAGCAGCAGCAGCAGGAGGAGCAGGCGCAGGAGCAGGAGCAGGAGCAGTAGCAACAGCAGTCGCCGTCCTCGTCCTCTTGGTCATCGTCGTCGTGACAGTTGGAATGATCGTGACCATGACGATGACAATGGGTCTCAGGACAGGTACAGCCCCTGCCTGGTGGTGCGGCTGACCAAGGCATCCCGCCATCCCGGTGCCTTGATGAGAGATTAGGTTGCAAGGGTCGAGGCGGTTCAGAAAGAAGGGTAGTCGAGGCCGAGGCGTGGTGTCTTAGGAGAGTCTTGGGCCGTTTCGGCTAGAGTCCTGAACGTTTGTGTCTCGGGGGTTTCGGCTTCCGCAGGAGGGATTTCTTGGTGCTCAATTACCCAGAGAACCCAATATCCCTTAATTAAGGAATATACCTTCAACCAGAATGTTAAGGCCCCCATAATTTAAGGTATATTCCTAAATTAAGGGGGTATTGGGCTCTCTGGGTACCATACGAAGCGCTGCTTGCCCAAAAGCCGAGATGCCTGGAAGACGGTGTTCAAGGAGACCTGGCAGCACAAGCTGATGGTCAAGGAGCCCCGCACTTTAGGGTTTAGGGCTTAGGGCTTCGAGTTCAGGGTTTAGGGTTTA